CTATATCCTGTTGAAATCAAAATCATTAGATGATTCATGTCCTCAGTTCGAGAAAATCCCATGTAAAGTACGTTCTTCTCTCAGGTGTAAGTATGAATTGAAAATGATTAGGGTCGAGTAAGTTTTTTTTTTTTTTTTAGATTTTTTTTTTTTGGTGTTTAGTATTTTAATATTGGTAAAATTGAATATTTTCACAAAAATTACTATTATTTTTTTTAATGACGTTTATACTTTAATTACTATTATTATTTATTAATTGTTAAAAAATTTTAACAACAGGTAATAAGTATAATTTATATTTTTAATTAATATTCATGATAACTTATAATATAATACAATTAAATCATTTAATAACAGTAAGGTTATAATTGCTGAGCATTTGCACATAATTTGGGTTAATTGAGTTGTATATTAATTAATTAGAAAACATATTTTATAATTATATTATTATTATTTATTATTAAAATAAAAATGTCGTATTTTTTATGGCATATATAACTACAAATTTAGTATTTATACATCGAATTGTGTTTTGAAAATATTTCGATATTTTATCATAACTAAGACATAATTTTTTCAAAACAAGTTTTAACAAGTTTTGAAAAATAATGACGATAAAATAATTTCCATCAACATCAATCAATATATTTACTACATTTACTTGTCTATATTCTACTAAAAAAATTTCCATTTTATAGAATTTTAGATTGTTATAATTTAAATAAATTATTTATCATTAATTTGAAATTATTTGGAACCAAATATACCTTAGTAATACATTTTATAATATAAAAGGTTTTAACTGTGGACCAATCTGATACAAGATCAATAATTCAAAATAATAAAATTTTATCAGCTAATTTGTAATGATTTTTTTATCTAGAAAATATATATACATATGTATATATCTACTACTCTAAGCGCTACAGGCCATTATGACCCTTGGTTTCCAAAACAATTCTTTTCCACTCGTATCGGACTTTTGTTAATTTTTCCAGATCCGTATACCCATCAGTTGTAAATCTTTCTTTACTACATCCAACCATCTATTTCTTGATCGGCCCTGTATTCTTTTTTCTTTCATTCTTTCATGCATTATTCATTTAAACATTCTTCCCTCGTCCATTTTTTGTACGTGTTCTAACCATCTTATTATTCTTGCTTTAATCAATTTTACTATTCTTTTCTAAAATTTGTTCTATTTCGTTGTTACTTCTTATCTTCCAACCTCTTCTTCAAATATATTATATTATTTATATATTATTTTATTAATTTAGTATATTATTTTTGTCAATTGTCTTTCAAATATTTTTAATTTGTTGTTATCCTCTTTTGATAATACTCAAGTATAGGTTCCGTCAGAGGCGTACCCAGGAATTTTTTATTGGGGGGCGAGTCCAACATTTTTATTTTATGTGTTCTCTTATTATAATTATTGTTCAATTCAATACCAAAAAATTACTGTTAATAACTATATCATGACTTATACAATATAGGTATATTATATAATCTATAAACTTTGAATACTGAAGATAATGGGAAATTAAAATACACTATATACTATTATTACACTATTTACAATTAAACCATTAAGTATGTAGAAATTTCAATGAGGGGGGTCCGGACCCGAAACTCCTCCCACCTTGAGTATGACCTTTTGCTCCGTAACACAATACGAGTCTAATGAGTGTTTTACACAACTTAATAATATTGGCTTTTGATAGTAGCTTTGTATTAATTTATTAATAATGCTTCCAGACTTTATTGTATCAATTACAGTCTCATTCAGGGAAATGTTGAACAGTGTAGCTGATAGAGTGTCTCCTTATTTAATTCCAGATTCAATATGATATGAGTCACTGTTCCATCCGCCTAATAAATCACTAATCAATTGAATCTGTATACTCTACATTCTACAAAAGAGTGATACAGAAAAATATTTAGTTGATAATATAATTATAACATCATGTATTAATATTTTTTCTTTATGAGGTGAATTATATATATATATATATATATATCAATTATTTATATAATTATTTTATATCAATCATTATTATCTGAATCTCTAATTGTGTTTATAATAATAATTATAATTTATTTAATTATTAATCTGTTAGTGTGTCTATATTATAGTAATTACACTCCCACATTTCATAGTTAATTCATTTTTGTTATCATTTTCATCGATATCATGTTATATGCTCAATAACTTTGGGGCCTTTAATTGATTATTGATACTTTACAAATTAAGCCAAGTGTATTTAAACACTTTAGGTGATGATCCACTACTCATTGGTTATATTCTCAATGTGCTTACTATAAAACAATAAAATTATATCCAATGTTCATTTAAATATACCTATCATAATACAATTTAATTTTTCGTCTACGATGTGAAAATCCAAATGTTTTATTGAAACTGCTGAACATACCTAATGATTTGTAGAAATTGTTTGTCATTCCGCGTTATTTCTCTTGTTATTACCAAAATGTGGCACATATCTAATTGGTTGACATTTGAGATCCGTCCGGGGTTGGTAAGATTGGTTAGCGATAAGTTCTGGTTTAGAGATATCGCTATGCAGGGGGCGCCGCGTGCAGGCTCTTACCATGCCCCCCACATATCTATTTACCATAGATAATTTAAATATAAATTTTACACCTAATGAATATTTAATGAACATATAATTACTATAAACTAATATATTGTACTTAGGTAGGTAAGAAATTGGAATAATTTTTATTTAAAGCATGTTCAGGAAAAAATCGTAACCATAATGCCGTATACTTATTCAAATCACATAATTGATCCGTATGGTGTTTGAATACTTATTTAGTACTATACACCTACCTAAATACCTACCTACTTATTTATGCAATTGTTAAAATAAAATTTAAGTATAGTTACCACTTAACTATTTAAATAATTGAACATGTAATTCGTCGGTTGGCAGGGCCAATGAGGATTCCAAACCCGGAGCCTTTAATTTTATTTTTGGTGGTCCCACGAAGCGTATTTGAAAATATATGAATGCAAAAAGATAACATTAAAATTCAACAAAAAATGTGTTCCTATGTTCGTATTTATCATTATTATTATTTAAATAATTCGTAATAAAAGCTCAATAAAAGCAAAAATGTTTTATTATAAAATATTATGTTCAAAACTTAATTTTCTCATTATTCTTCGTGATACGTCCGAACATCGATCCACGGATTTGTTTCTTAATATCACTCCTTCTGTGAAGAGAATTAAGATAACCTTTATTTGCGCTTACCGCAAGATGTAATATGAACTCGACCAACGGTTATGTTTAATATTAATAAATTATATTGATTCAAAAAGAAAAAGTATATACTCTTCCACCGAAGTAGCCACTGAACCAATAAAATAATATTATTACGCGTTTAAAACTCTTTTACAATAATTGTACTATTATATCAATTATTATAATTATTATAATAATTTATATAATAGTAATAAGTATTAAGTATACTATACTGCAGCATTACACATGCGTCTGTATGAATATGTAATATATTACACTTGTCTGGTGTATGGTGATTATTGTTATTGTTATTTAACGAAAATCGATTTTTATAGTATTAATATCGTTCCTAATCAGATAAAGTAAAAATAAAAAAAAAATCAGATATAAGTTTAATCTTTACACTCGTGATCAACACTAAATCTTCATTCTTTTCGTTTGAGAATCATAATCGCTTTCAGTACCTCATCCGATCAAAAGAATATTATGGTTTCGCCGCGACTGCGATATTCCCGCCGACGCCGATCAATCGCTTATCGTTCGCTGTGTTGTTATCAATATTGTTCTTCAATCAGTACACGATCACAAGATTTATTTACCAATATTTGGTGTAGCGAACGCTATCTCTTGGCGGTTGGATTTGTTATGTTCGGCGTACCGTTGCGGAACTAGGGGTTGGAAGACGGGGATTCATCCCCGGGCATAACATTTTAGAGGGTGTAATGTTTGTAATTGTTAACAACTGATTTGATATTTTTAACTTCATTAAATACTGATATCAGGTTGAAACTCAATAAGTATGATTGTGTATTGATTATTAGAAAAAATTTCTCGAGAAAAGTATTTGATTATTGGTCTATGTAGGGTGTAATTTTAAAATTTTCCCCGGGCGTTAAAAATTCCTAGTTCCACCCAGGGGTGTACTTAAACTTACTTCTAGAGGAGGGGGGGGGGCAACTCAAATTTTTTCTTTAATTCAGGCTCAACATTTACAAGTAAAATTTTTGGTAATATTTATATCAGGTGAATCCTTAATATTTGTGGTTTTTTTTTTTTTATCTAATGCCGGATCCACTTAGAATGGTCTTTTCTGTAGTTATTTTTTAACACCTACCTGTGTTTTGAAAGTTTCGCTTGTATTTTATCTAATTTTTCACTAAGTATGAACTAGGTTTTCAATTAAAATAATATATATTATTTATCGTTATGATTATCGTTATAAACGTTATAAGCAATTGAGCGTTTAACACTATAAATAATTTAAACGTTATTCAATTTAAGCGTTTAAACGTTATAAAAATTTAAACGTTTAAAAAATTTTCCGTTAACCGTTATTAACAATTAAAACGTTATGAAAAATTTAGCATTTTGCGTTATTTATATTAGTGTAAAATTTGAAACGTTTTCAAATGTAGTAATACTGTAAAATAAATCATAATTTTTGTTTCTTAATAAAATACCCATTACTTATATAAAAATTGTCTTGGTCTAAAAATTTTTGGGGTGGGGGGCGATTGTCCCATCGCCCCTCTTAAATACGCCACGGGTTTCACCTCTGGTTCGACGTACCGTCGAATTTTCAAACAAAAACGTGTTTCGCAACCGCCGAAATCATCGTCCAATTATTCGCGTTAACAATATTGATTTTGTGGTCGTGACCATGTTCACGGTTCGAACTGTGCACGAAACACATGACGTTACTTTATGGCCGTTGATAACAGCGCCCGAAAAAGATAATGGATTGTAATGATTATTGATATTGGTGGCTGTTGGAGTACCTCTGTTCAACATTTTCGGTGAAACGTTGCGTTCATTCCATCGAATTGGGTTCGTCATGACATCGCAGTAGTCGCAATCTGCACTATTCTCTCACGACTCCGTAACGCCGGTCCGTTGGCTCGGCTTCAGGAAGTTTTCGTTCCGTGAGTATATAATATTTAACGAGTTTTGTTTTTCCTATTTTGTCTTTTCGTCATTCGCGGTTGAATTAGTTTTATTCGTGTATAACTGTAATATTTGTACGTTTTTCATATTATTTATTTCTCATTCCTTGTGCTTCAGGTGACTTGGACGTTCAAAGTGTCCAGACGATGTCAAACAGTGGCACTGCATCTGCTGATTCACTGCCTAATGTTGCTGCCCATCTGCCCTCAATATTTATGTCCCTACGTACTAAACTTCCGTCGCATGTACTTGCCATTCGCCCCTGGTCATTGAGTGCCTCGATAATACCAACATTATTGGGTTGTACCATTGCTCAGAAATTAAATTCTAATATTGAATTTAGTTTTTTGACTCTGCTATTGACCCTACTGACAGTAGCTTTGGTTCATGGCGCTGGAAATGTGGTGAACACCTATTACGATTATGTCCGTGGAATTGATGGTCGCAATAGTGATGATCGAACGCTGGTGGACAGAATTTTGTCTGAGAATGAAGTTGAAAGGTTAGGTGCTATTTTATACTTTTTGAGTTTCGTTACATTCTTTTGGCTAGCTTTAATATCCCAGGCAAAAATGGGTCATTTGGCTGCTGCATATTTATGGGGTTTAAGTATTTCATTTTTGTATACTGGTGGATTTGGTTTTAAGTACATAGCCCTTGGTGATCTAATATTCTTGATTCTCTTTGGACCTGCATCAGTGTTATTCGCTTATTTATCTCATACTGGTCAAATTAATTTAGAACCAATTTATTATGCTATACCCTTAGCACTAAACACTGAAGCTATATTACACAGTAATAACACGAGAGATTTAGAAAGTGATAGAAAAGCTGGTATTGTTACATTAGCAATATTAATTGGTAGAACGGCTTCAATCATTTTTTATGGCTTTCTTCTATTTACTCCTTACATTATGTTTGTTGTTTTATCAGTAAGATGTTCTAAATGGTTTCTTCTACCGTTAATTACTATGAGTTATGCTTTTAAAATAGAAAGAGAGTTCAGAGATGGTATTAATATACAGTCTGTTCCCAAGCGAACTGCTAAATTAAATTGTATTTTTGGAATTTTATATATCTTAGCCGTAATGGCAGCTGACAAATCAAATTTACCATTTAGTATTAACTGACATACTAATAAATAAATATTATGGCTGTTAGTATTGAATGTTCTTACAATAGGTTTCGATGGTCCTAATAACGTTCCTTAGGGTGTATAGATAACCTTACACCGAGAACATTATTCTGAATTTTTTTTATTATTATTGTAACAGTTTTTTATTTTAATCTATAAGTACTAAAATGATTGTATTAACTGATGTTGAAAGAATTTTAAAATAACATACATTATATTATAATGAGTTATAAGTTATAGTTGACAAAGATCATAAGCAAAATATCCAGCTTTGGCTGAAATGTACTGAATACTATATTTTTAATTACAATTTTTGTTACATATACTAATTAGAAATCTTTATTGTACAAACACAATTTACTTTTTAAAATATAAGATTAGTTATGAAATAAGATTATGAAAAATATTTAAAGTTTTGTTGTAATTTTACAAAATTTTTATTTTGTAAGATTATTATATTTAAGTTTATCATAATTTATTTTTCAATTTTACCACAAAAACAATATTATATAATTCATGTAGTAAATCATAATATCGAGTTCAATGTTATCTTTTATTTATAGTAGGTACATCATCTTTTATCTAATTATAGTAAAATGATTATTTTTATCTACTGTTACAATTCTATACATATATATGTATATATATATATATAAACAAGGTCATTATAATTGTATACTTAAATTATGGAAAATTCATTAAATGCTAACACCAATTTATTTATTTAGTATAAACTTTGAATATCCCAAATTTATGTATATAAATTATAATTGCTTTAATATGATTTATTTAAATAGTAATGTATTAATGAGATATTTAGTTAAATCTTTTGAAATTTAAAATTAAAAAGCTTAAGATATTAAAATCAAAGTCTTCCTCAAATAAAAGTTATAAGATATTGTATATATACTGAATTATTAAGTCTTGTAAATAATTGATCAACTGAACAATCATATAAAATAATATAATACATTTTTGTTTATATTGAATTATATTATAATTATTTTTTTTTTACCAAAGTTATTTGTCTATCCGTTGATTTCATATTAATCATAAACAATACCAACAGATTTTAATTAAATCATGAAAACCGTGTATCATATTAGGTTACTCATTAATTATTTAATGTAATAGTTGATGCCATAAGAACCAATTTGTATAAATATGTAATATTTAAGTAATAAAGCTTTATAGTTAGGTAATTTAGCTCAATTGTATTTATTGATATTATTCAAATATTATTTTTCAGAAGGAATGTACTCAACATAGTATGACAAAACAAAAAAAAGTTTAATAATTTTAAATATTTTAAGGTTAAATAGTAAATATTATATTTAAATCATATTCTAAACAAATGTAGTTTATTATTGATACTTCCAAAATATATTATCATTTTCAATAATCTGTCTAACTATATAACATTTTTTTTTGTAAGCATTTATAAAAATGAAATTGCAAATTTAAACAAATGTATAACTAAATATTTGCTTAATAAAATGATTACCAACATTTTATTATTTTTAAACAATCAATATTAATAAGTGATATTTTTTTATTTAATTAGAAGCAATAGTCTTTATATTATTTGAAAACAATAATTTTATCATAATTTAAATTAAAACAAGAAAGTACAAAAACATTTGTGAAAATTACTTATGAAACCATAAGTAATTTTCACAAATGTTTTCTTAAATTTTGTTGTTTCTTAATTAAAGATTAAACTTAAAATTTAAAATATAATCAAATTATCAATCTATAAAATAAAATTATGAATTTTATACTATTTTACTAAAAATTAACAACATTAAATTATTTTCATCAACACAATTCACTACAATACAGCTCGCATAATGATTTTGTAGCATTTGGCTCTCATACTTCTGATCTACAAGAGCAGAGTACAGTTTGGAGTAACTCTATAGTAAATATATTAATTCATTTCATCTTGAAAATAATCTTGTATAATGTATAAAATAATTTGAATTTTAAATTTTTATAAAAAAAACAAATAACCTGATCAAATCTTCCAATGTTTAGTATTTTATATGTATGTACAGGCTGCTCTATGAGGTGGTTACAAAAATATTTAAGGGCGCCTTAATTTTTGTTATTTGATCCTTCGGATTACCTATGGCTCAATAGATTACAGATTTAGGAATCATAATTTAGGTTTAACGCTTGTTTTCACAAAAATATAAACGTTTTTCAATGACTTATTACTGAATACCATGGGGTAATTACTTGTTAATGAGAAACAATGAATATCTCTCCAAAATCTTAATGTAGCTGTAATTTTTATGGGTACATCAGATATCGTAATTTTCATGGGCGCGTCATGCATCTGCCCGGTGGGCCAGTACTATCCTGTGTATGCATACATTTCAAACTTAAAAATGTGTTAAAATGTTTTATTTTCAAGATATAATACAAAAAGTTTATGTATTTTAATATTTATTTCAGCTCAGAAAATAGACATTTTATATTTCTAAAAGAAATTGTAAATCAAAATTATTATGTATTTTATACCAAAACATTGAGTTACAAAAAAAAAAAAAAAACCAGGATCTTGAGTTGACTAGAAGACATCATTGCAAATAAATATAAATTTGTAAAACACAAATTAATAAATTAATATTTTTTTTATATTTTCAGGTTTTATTTTTTAATTTAATGTAATTGAATATAGAACTTGATTCAAAATTACAATTTATACTGTGTATAAATACATAAATATAATATAATAAAAGTGAATGCATTTAATAAATGTTGTCCTGTTAATTGTTTATAAAATTGTATTAATTGTGTACAGTATGATAAAAACAAATAAACAGTAATACTACTATTATACAACTAATATTTTGTATCAACCAAATCATTTTTCATAAACCAAAGAATTCATTGATTTTACCATAATGTGTGTTAATTTTTCTGGATGTCTTCACAATTGTCCATCAAAGAAAGTATAAAACATTAAAAAGTGTTCTAAAAAATAAAATCTGAATATTTAAAAACAAAAATGTGAAGGGATCTTTTAGAGCCCAAATGTAATTTGATTTAGATGAGAACAAATATAAATTTTTATTTTTTAAGAAAAATATAAACATTAAATATATGAATTATATTTGATAAGTATTATTAAAGAATATGTAAACGTTTCGAATATTTAAATATAAATATGTCGATAGGTAATTTGATTCTAAAGAAAACGTGAAGTTGAATTCTGCAACAGAATCTCTTTTAAAACCTATGCCCTACAATATTTCTTTAAATGTATATAAATATTAGTATACTATTTAAGCGTCGATTACATTGAGCGAGTTTACAAGCTGATAGTTGGCAAATTCACTATCTGCTAGTAAACTCGCCTAGTGTAATCATGTTCACTAGCCAACTAGCAGATTGTTAACTATCCGCGAGTAAAGTTGAAAGCTGGTCTACTTTATTCGCTACTCGCTGGCGTTTATGGTTTTAGTGTTTACAAAATGTCGACGGAAATTGTACGTGCGGGTGTCATTATTTTAGCTCATGCTATCAAAAAGGAGTTAAAAAAAAAAGAAAAGCGGAAAAGGCAAAGAAATATATGGGTCAAACAATGGATAGGCAGACGCGAGATGTATGGTGCATCGAGCAGTTTACTGAAAGAGTTGAAGGACGAAGACGCTTCAGCTTATCGCAATATTTTGAGACTAGACTGTACCCATTTTGAAGATTTACTCAAGATGGTTGATGGAATGCTCAAAAAAGAAGATACAGTTATGAGGATGGCAATCCCAGTAATCACAAAACTTGAAGTAACACTACGTTATCTAGCAACTGGCGATTCTTTTAAGTCTCTGCAATACCTTTTTCGAGTTCCCGAATCGACTATATCGATATTTTTGCCTGAAGTGCTATCGGCGATTTCTTTCGTCCTTCGACCATTCATTGAGGTATGTAAAAATTAATTTAAAAATGCCATTTTAAAATCATTTATATATTTCTTGTAATGTAAGATAAATTGACACATTATACATTATATTTATTTTTATTATTATACTATTTATTTCACCTACGAATTCAAGTAAACGCGATCTATTGACCAACTTAATTTTATTTATTAATCAGTAACATTATTATTATTAACAAACAATTGTATCTGTAGATAGTTACCTTATTTATTTAAATTAATACATATCTATTGGTATATTTGATATAAATTACTTTATATGTTTGATATTTAATTTTTTCTTTTTAATTAATTAATTATTTAAATTATTTATACGAATTTTTCTAAAACTTATTATTTAGTTTTACCATTTTAAAAAAAACTTATTCTGACTTATTTTCTCATGCATTCTGTCCAATGAATGTAATGTTTAGCAAACTGAAAACATGGCGGTCGCTTAATCAGCTGGCTTCATGGTTTGTAATGGAAATCATACAGGACACGGTTAAAATGTACTAAAGTGTATTTAATGCATATTAAGTAATATATATATATATATATATATATATATATTATTAATGATGAATTAGTAATAATGAATAGTAAATAATTAATTAGTAATGTATTATATAAGTAATTTTAAAGTATATTTTAAACCGTGATACTAAGTACCTTATCTAATATTCATGGTGTAAAGAAGATTCTTTCTACGCTGCTCTAATATTATCATTATGTAGTAATTGTACAGAATTCTGTGATATCAAGTTATATATAATTTAACCATAGAGTAATTAGAGTAATATTAGTAATATATATATTAGAGTAATAGAGTATTACTCTATGAATTTAACGAAATTCTTTAATGATCTATGTTTCTTATCACAGATCTCAAATCATTTGTCGTCACAATGTTAAAAAGCAAATTTTAGATTTTTCACAACGTTAATTTTCAATTATTGATTAATTGATTGCTGTAATTATTTAATATTTGTTATTGTGTGCTATCGGCATTTCAGTACTATTGACTACAGATTTATAGCATGTCGAAAAATAATAATAAATTTATGACCACCAAGTTGAAAGGAACCGAAATGTTAGCACGGCACTCTCAACACAAACCACTACAATCCAGCTCGCATAATGATTTTGTAGCATCTGGCTCTCATACTTCTGATCTACAAGAGCAGAGTACAGTTTGGAGTAACTCTATAGTAAATATATTGATTAATTCATATTGGAATTTACTACAACTTATTTATTATAACAATGTAAAACTGATTGAATGGATTTCATGATTTTTATTTGTATTTAATTTGAATTTTCATGATCAATCATTGTAGCCAAAATTAATTCCTGAAACGAAACAAGTTATATATGGTGGTAGAGGATTGGCAATTTCAAAGTTAGTAGAAACAATGTCTAAGACTCCAGGGGAACCTATGGACAAATGGGTATGTAATGATAATTATTGTACTTTTACATAACAGGAATGAGATCCTTAATTTATTGTATTATATATTTATAATATTTTTAATACGTTGTTTTCTATGAATTCCTTAAACATATTTTGATGTTTTCTTTTTCTTTAGATCATCACAATTTTTCAAGATATTAATAAATGTAATAAATCATTAAATTATATAAAAATATTAAAAATTTTAAATCGTTGGTTTTCAACCTTTTTAACAATGCAGCACACTTCATCTTCGACAAAATGTTCGCAGTACACCAATTTATATATTATGCGAACCATATCATATATATATATATATATATGTACACTGTTTATAGTCTACTCTATTAGAGCGTTATTTATTGTGAAATATATTAATAAAATTGATCGATCGAGACTGCTGAGATGGGCATACTTACAATAAATAATATATATATATCTACGATGAGTTTGATTAGTTTTCATCAAACATCGATAATAAGCTGGTAAATACATGCTTATAAAACAATTTATAGACTTATCGCAGCACACTTCAAGGGCATTCGTGGTATACCAATGTGCCACAGCCTACCGGTTGAGAACCACTATTTTAAATCATACCGACTTATAGACATTAAAAACCATTGTATTCATTAACTATGTTATGTTACCTGATATCTTTTAAAAAGCAAGTGTTTATTATTTTTTTAAAATTTACTCTATATTGGTAATTCATGTGCATAAAAAAATATTCCATAACTGTATAACTTAGGGTATAAATATTGTCATATATGTTTTTAAACTATTTCTAGTGATAAATGATTTATTAATGTATGAATAATCCAAAAATCAATTTTCTCTAAATATGTTTCCTTGATTCTTAAATATTGTATTTTTTATTATATTTCTTAAATATTTAATAATTAATATTAATTATATAAGTGTTAATTACTAATTTTTATTTACTTAATTATTGAATAATTTATCAATCATTTTATTAATATTGATTTTGTGATGGAAATCAATGTTCATATATTAGGCTTGAAAACAATTATAATTCATGGTATATATTACAAATGAACATTTATAAACTGTGTTAAAAATAATATAGTTCTGGAAATAAAATATGAATACCAACATTTTTTAATCATATGGCTGTAAATGGTATCTTATTTTCTAAATATTTTAAATATTAAAAATCTTAGATATATTGAATAAATAAATAAATAAGTATAAAAAAGTACATTGAATGATGTAATCAATTATTTTATGTTTATAGAATTACTCAAATTCAGCAATAGAAAGTCATTTTAAAAAACTTAGAGAAGAAAGTGCAAAAAGTAAGTTAAAAGGTTATGAAATTATTTCATAATAATTCATAATTATAATTTTTCATAAATAACATAAATATTATATATTTTTTACTTATATCTATATAAATATGTACAAAATTCTTATTATAAAATGACTTATTTTTTCTAGAAATTAAAGAAGATAATGAAAAGATTTGGGGAAATTGGATGCATACAAAAAAGAAAAGTTGATATTTTGCTATTTAGTTGAAAATTAACTAATAAAATTACCAACATTTTCATCTGTATACATTATTATTTTGAATTTTGTATGTATGGATATTTTTTTTGTTTAAATTAATTTATAATACTAAGTGGTTTTAGTTATTTTGTTAATTCATAGTTGGCAACAATATCTTTTTATTGTTCAGGTAAGGATATAAAAACTTTAATTGAAATGCTGGAAATGAAAATATAATTATAGGAGTTTAAAATAACAAGTCATTACTTATACCCAGGGCTAATTTATTATTTTTTATTATATTTTATTACAGTTTTCACTTCTAAAATGTTTTTATAAGTTTTTTTTTATACATATTTATTTTGCTCCGAATGCAGTAGTATATAATTATAATACAAACATTATAATTTATAAATTTATAATAAAAGTAATCTTTACAATTTATAAATAATATATATGAAAAAATTATAATTTTTTATTTTATTATAATTAATTAACATTATATTGATGGTTAATTATTTTAATTTTAAGTTTGATGAGTCATGATTAATGAGTAGAGCGTGGATTTATATGCATTTGCATATTTATTCTGGTTGGTCCTATGATATGCTAAGTTAGAATAAAGTCCGTTTATGATATAATGATTTAAACAATCAAATTTTATTCGAGCATATTTCAATATTTACCCATTTATTTCTATTTGAAGGACTTTTTACGTTTTTAATTGTATTATACTTTAGTGCATTTTGTCATATGGATAAATTTTTTTATTTTTTAATTTTTACTAAGTATTGTAATATAAGGGGTAAATCTGTTAAGGAAAAATTTAGATAAATATCATCAAAATTGAAGACTACGATATACTAAAATTTCATAATTTCTAAATAACGAAGTGAATCAATTTTCTTATGTATTATTTTAATTAAATGTTCAGAAATAAAAATTTTTTTTGTTAAATTTCGAGTGCATATTTTAACGCATTATTGTATATATTTGTGCATGTTAAAGATATTTTAACGCATATTTGGTTGGTTTTTAATGTATATAAACCCATGCTATATTAATGACTAATAAAAAAAGGAACATTATTTCTAAAATTAAATGTTGGAACATTAATATTTCATAGTTTCATTATATATTTTGTTTTTTTTCGATACTGTATATATTATATTTTTGAATAATAATTGATAATTTGCGGTGACCATAATGAACGGACAATATACAAAATAAAATTAACAATGAATGATAATTTCATTTCATTTTATATACTCCAAATGTGTCTATGTATTTTTTGCATTTTTTTGATTTTGTAATTATTATAAATTGTATATAATATTTTCCACATACAATTATTTGTTATGTATTCATATTACCCATTTAATTATTTGCACATTTTTAATAACAATAATGATATATCAAATTTGATTTCAATTTTACTAAATTTGATTAATATGTTATTTATAGTCTTTTAATATTTGTACAACTGTATTGAACATTTTTTTTTTTAATATGCAAAATGTTTAATTTAAACTGACAATAATCATATTAAAATGTAATGCTTTTCATTTTATTTGATTAATTAAATGTAAAAAAATGTAAAACTCTATTAATGTTGTTATTATTTCTTTACTTGCATCTGTAAGTTTTTGGCACAACAGTACTTGGTGTATAGATAAAAAAAAAAAAAAGCATGGAGTCCAATCACAATTAATAATTCCCAATAGTTATTATTAGGACTCGGAAGTTGATGACCTTAAAAACATTAAAAAATGACCTAAAAAAATTACAACAGATGTCCTTAAAATATGAAATAAAAAAATTACAAATATTTGTTTTATAAATTTATCAAAGCTTACAAACAAAATACTCAAAAATCAAAATCATTGCATTGTACAATGAGAGAGTATTTTATGTTGTCAAAAGTAAATGAACGACGATTATTTGAATATAAATATTTATATTTGGAGAAACTTCTCTCCACGTCCATCGAAGTGTGGTTTGAAGACGCAAAAGATTACTTTTTAATTTTCGCCATTTCGAAAATATTAGTAACGAATTGTAGTTATAAATAATATTCAATACAACATGACAATGACGTATGTAATCGGCGAGATAAAATCGGACAAGTTTTGAGTTATCGGCCTAATGGTCGACAAGAAACAAGAAGTGAAATATTATGAAATCGGTAAAAATTACTAAAAACGAGAGGAAATGACCTAAAAATGTCAAAACTGACTTGAAAACTAATAAACACCAAAAAAATGCAAAAAAAAAATAATAATTAGTTATTCGGATTCAGATGCTAATGAAAACCATTCGTGGACAGAAGAGCATCGTTTAAAAAGTTCCAAAAAAAAAAAAAAAAACGCATCAACTTCCGAGCCATAGTTATTATAATACGATATAAAAAAATAAAAAAACAACTGAAGTTGACACCACGGGACGCTATTTTAATCGCTAGAATAATACACGTAAAATGTACATTGCACGTAGCACTATTGATTTAATGTTGTGCGTTCAGCCTACTTTCAATTCTAATTTTTCTACTTATATTTTGGGTATGGTGCACGCGGCTGGTTGGTTTTCGACCTCGCCCAGGAATGAACAGTACTCTGGCTCGTCCATGTTGATCAAACCCCGTAGAAGTGCGCGGATCATGGGGAAACTATAGCATTTGCATTTGGATTTATAGTCGTCCGAGTCCATGTAGTACAGTTGGATGCCCCAAATGCTCAGGTTCCGTAAATACTGACCCTGTGCCACAACGATAAATAATATAATATTACTATTATAATCAGTGGCAGATCCATGTGGGAACTCCCTCCCCCAAAATCAGGAAAAATATGTATTAAAAATCAATAATTTTATGATTTAAGAAAAGATATTTTTTTTTTTTTTAAGTATTTGGGAAAGTATATAATTTGTATTTTTATTCATACAAGAAATTAGTAGTCTTAGATTTAAATGAATATATTATATTACTTACTATTATTCACTATCAATCATTGACTGCAATATTATAAAAAATATCCCAAGGGAAAACATTTATCAAACCTCCCCCCCACAATAAAAAAAAAAAAAATCCTGAATCCGCCACTGTTTATAATTATTGTGATCACAGCAATATGGATCGATATGGAGTTGGATTTTACTGTTGCGTCTTTTTTTTTTTTTTTAATTCCAGTCAATAAAACACACTATTGGTTTTGAAGTTTCTAGCTCGAAGGATTGACAATAAAAAAAAAAAATAGCTTGTGAAGGATGACAAATACTTAAATTACTTATTCGTTATATCATTGTTTACGTCTTGCATTATAATCGTAAATATTATTAACAGCATTACATAATGGCTCTTTATGATTTTGAATTTAATGCAAAAATAAAATATAAACAAAATATTTGAAGTGCATGATCAATTCTAAATTGTGTTTTCGGTTTTCTTTCCATTTCGTAAACTACTGATCGAATTGAAAACTGAACATTTTCTGTGTTCAAATTTCAACGGAAACAGTGCAATATGCGACTCGAACATATTTCAACGTAGACTTCCCACGTGAAAGCTATATTTGCGTAGGTAGAGAAGTAAGAAATGCGTCGTCATAAAGTACGAGCAATACAAACACTTATGTTTCTCGTTCCGTTTCGGAATGGCAAAATAATCATTGAAAAAATAAACACGTCGAACATGTTAACAACGATTCACAGTACCTTCTTAATTTGTTATTATATGTGTAATTTGGGTGAAATTTGTAAGGTCTCGCTTAACCCCTTCTGGTGCTGCATCAGGGATGAATATGACAAAAGAGAGTAGGTTTTTTATTATTTTATATAATTCAGAAACTATCGTACTTAGCGTAAACATTTAAGAACCTAAATTATGTATTTTACAATATATCTATTATTTTTTAAGAAAAATCGATAATAATATTCAAAATATTTTATTTATTTATTGAAATTGTTTTTTTTTTCGATTAATTAATGTATCAGTACACTAGTGTTTAGTGTTCAAGTGTTTTAAAAATTTGACATTAACTAAATGTTGACGAACAACTGGTGTTTTTTTGTCTGCGGGCGCATAAGTCCATTATTTCTACCGCGAATATCGCTGTCTTTTCAATGGTGGTGTCCATGGACGTTGGGGCGATTATCGTCTATCGTTTTATAATTACTATTGTTTTCGTACCGCTACGTCACAGCTAACCAACGTTATTTTATTGTTATTGCGAATTACATTTTAATAAACATTATTAAAAACTGTTTTGAAATGCTGAAAACACGTTGATATACTTGTGGGTCGAGGTGAAGGGCGAACTCTCATATCCTCTCATACCTCACCAGCTCAAAAAAAAACGTTTAGCTCCTCCTATTCAAAAATCCCGGCTTCGCCACTGCAGTGGCGTGGTGATGATGTTTTTTATGACGCCCAGACGTCATTGTGAAAACGTTATGGGTGTTTTGGTGGATCAGAGACGTGTTTAGGGGGTAGCGAGGGGGTACCATCGCCTTGAGTGGCGTGTTGTAGCCATAATCCATCAGCCATTTTCATTCGTTAATCAAAATATTTTAATATCTTTAGATTTTAATAAACGACCACACTGCGATTTTTATTCTCGTGATAATATTATCAAAAGTTGACTACGTAAAAACCATAGCTAATAAATACGATATTTCTAGAAAATCATATAAAACGTGTGTAGGGGTGGCAATAAAACTTTACCTAAGGCATCAACACTTTAAACGCGTATTTGGGCTAAGCGGGTGGTTAGATTTAGAGTTGTAAAGATTATGGAAGGATTCAGACGATGTATATTTTCAAGACAAACGTAACACCAACACGTAACACGAATACAACGGAATACACGATAGTCGATAAGAACAACACGACAATAAGGTTAAGATTGTGATTTTTATTTAATTTTGACATAAAAGAGGTAAAAGCCTCTTAGAATTTTCTTATCATAAGTTCGGGTTGGTAAAATGCAAGTAGGTAGGTACATAAATCTTTGATAGTCTGAAGTTTTCTTCAATTTATATTTTGGAATAAATATCAAGGATGGTGAGCTAGAAAAAGAAGTAGGCAAGGGGTAGGTACTGAAATATTAGTTACATAAATGTTCATCGCGCCGTTATATGCATGTATTACATTATAAGGTAAACGTTACCTATTGTTTATAGTCACGGCCGAGAAACAAATATTTATGCGATTAAAATAAAATAACTGCAACACGATGTATTTATGCACAAACAATTTACCAAACACGGATTAAAAAATCAAAAAATAGGGACGCAGAAAATGTATTTTAGCTGAAAGTATTAAAATTCGAAATCTTTAAACGTTTAATGTAATTTTTTTAAACACATAATTTAACTATTAACCATAGCAAATATAGATGTAAGTGTTTATTTATGTATGCAACAATTCATAAAAGTATTTTGTATCGTATTAAAATATTATTAGTATGGCTGGGAAAGTTAATGACTTTTTTCAACTTACTTAAGTTAAGATGTAATTTTTATCATTACATTCACACCAATGGTGTTATCTGAATGTTATTGTGGATGAGAGGGCAATGTTATAATTGGACAATACGATTAAAATGATTGTGGTGACTCTGCCCGTACTTTCCGAATTTTTAAATTGAAAACTGTTTAAATTGCATCGGATTAATGTTGTATTAATTTTCTATTTTATCGTAAAAATATAGCCATACCTAATTGTGTTTATAAATAATAATAGTATAAAGTGCAATAATTAATACCATCGGATATATTTAACTGGATCAATCCGGATCTTTTAATAAAACGAATCGTTTTTTCAATTTTAAATGCCCAATGATTATTAATATTTTAACGTTGAAGAAGACGTCACAACCGTACGTGTTGTTTACGTCTTACAAACGTATAATATGTACGTAACATGTTATTAGCATTTTTTAAATTGTAATACTTTACGAGATTATAATTCGCTTGAAAATTAAAATATCTTAGAAAACCTATGACGTCACATGGACGGTTCAACGGATAATTTAAGTTCTCGTCGTGACGCAGTTAAATCATAAAGAATCCAAAATCTGAATTGTGCAGTTTTGTTTGTTCGTAAAATGGAGACAACACGTACGCATGCGGCGTCCCTTGATCTAGAAAAATGTAACTTATTTTTATGATTCTCTTCTTATACATGTGGACAGAAAAATACTGTTTGAGATTCTTTTAACCCATACAAGAAAGCACACATCTCTTGCGTTCTACTTGCTACCCTAGATAATGTTTAGTCTAATCTAGCTGATTGAAAAATATTAGAATCACCCTGTACAATCGAAATTATTGTGATGTGCTAATAATACTAATATTTTTATTTCATTTTATTTTTAAATTTTGTATTCGTTGTTGATCTTAATTGTTATAATGTTAACGTTAATAATAAACTATAAAAAGTAATAATATAAAATGTGAGACCAAAAAAAAAAAAAAAAAACTGCTTGGGCCCGAACCATCCTTCTCGTCCGCCCGTCAAATACTGCAATGTTTCACATTGCATGCACATATGTACATAACCAATGCGAAATCCTACGGAAACGCAAACTCTCGTGTGAAAAGACATCATTATTAGTTCATAAAAATAATAATACGCATAAAAAAAAGATAAAATAATGAAGCGCGATTGTAGATTACGCTCACATAATGTTCATCATGACGCAACGTAGACTTATGTAGTAGGTAGTATGTATTATAAAAAAAATTTAAATACAATTATGAAAATTGTGTTTATTTTTCGTCGTTGTAATAAAATTAATAATTATAAGTGAAAACCATCGCCACAGTTGTGTGGAATTTCACACATATGGAGGTTATGCAGGTGTCGGGATTAATGATAAATGTATATATTTTAATATACATATCTACGTATGTATTATTTTTATAATAATTATTGATTGAATAACTATACTAGGCGAACTCGACGTGTAATATATTTCTGTCCAATATATTATGTGTCCAAGGATTCCTTGTTGGGAGCATTTATAATTCTGAGGGATCGTTATATATAAGTAGGGTGATTATTCTGTCGTTAACGTTTTTATTACAAGAGTTGATTTGGACCATGTTAAAACCATGTACGTTAAAATTTGGAAATAAGTGTTGTTATCAAACATGTCTTTTTTCCCGTCAACATACCTTGTCGAAAATGGCTTCTGTACGGTTCAAAAACCTCTCACAGAATCAAAAAATCGATTGGAAATATGCAAAAAAGAAGTCTCTAGTACAAATGTACCTTTTAATTGTAAAAGTACTGTTAAAAAAAACATCAATGTGTGTACCTACGAGTTGAAGTTTATAATTAGAATATGTTATATCCAAAATCAAGATATTCATTTAAATACGAGTGCAATGACATTCGTAAAATATTAAAAAATATAATTTTATTAAACGAAAATAATTAAATTTTACTTATTAAGTAGTCGAACTTCAATTAAGTCAAAAACTGTGATATTTATAGGTTTATATTTATAAAAAAATTCAATATTGTACATTTAATGACTAGTTGTTTGAATTATATATATTTGAAAATATTTTTTGTGTTTCAACAAAATGTAGTTGTAACAAAAACGTATGTAAATGAAGTTATTATTATTATTTTTTATTTTTTTTTTATTTTGCATAAAAAATTATCACAAATTAAAAATGAGATTATTTTTTCAACATTGTTCCTAAACCAAGGGCATTTTGACCATAACCTGTTTTTGACTAGAGTATAGTTTAAAATATTGTTTCTTTTTTTTTTTTTTTAACTCAAATGCAATTCGATTTTAAATAAGTGCATTTTGACCTTACTCTTTTAATCGAGTCCATACTTTTGGGTTCTAAGCAATTAGAAGGTATTTCATTTTTATAAATATATCAAACATTACGGGGGGAATTATCAGGGTGTGGATATAAATTCAAAGAGGATTGGTAAATTTTTTATGCATACTAGTATAGCTATTGTAGGATCATTATATTTGTGAATACAGTATATTAGTATATTGTAATAACACAAACGAGTAAGTGTAAACTTAATTTTTGATGATTATTATTTATACGAAAAAAAAAATCAACGTTATCGTTATGTTCACTAACCTTACTAAGAGATAGTAAATGTTTTTTTGATTAAAATAGTTTTATTATAAAATGAAAAAAAAATTTATAGGCTCACTTGATAATAATTTTTAACGCTCATAATGTAGCTATTCAATTGTTAAGACATCCTGTTCTTATTTTTAAAGTAAATATTATATATTAGATTTTATTACTATATTAATAAAACAAAAATCGCATTTATCTTTGTCTTTTATTATTTTTTTTTGTTTACGATTAATAAATCTTATGGTGTCCCCGGTTTTGAACTTGGCTTAGGGCATACGATCTTTGGATACGGATGATCTCTGTTTAACATTAGTCATTTTTATTGAATTAAGAATCTAATTATTCCAATTATGAATTGAATTGATTTATTATAATGAATAATTATAATAATGAATTATTATGTTATTAGTTCATTTTATCTTTATTTTTAACATTAATTACGCCGCCACTAATTGCATTTCAGTTTTCTTCCCAATTTTCTTCTTTCATCGTGTATGGTCGTTAATAGTCGCTCACTCGGAAAATATTTTTGTGCAGCTCGAGATTGACTCTTGACACACATACAAACACTCGGATTCGGATGATGGTCTAAATAAGTCTGTGCTGCGGTTAACCGCAGTGTAACAGTGATAGTATACGAGTATTATGACGTGTTGTGACAGTACGTCAAAGAGAAAACTGTATTATGCAAGACTAATGATCGTGTAAGTGTTAAAGCGGTGCGATTTGAGCGTTCAGAAAGAAAGTTGTATCTATACAACTTTACGGAATTAGAACTATTGGCGGATTGCTGAAACGGTTAAGTTCACGGAAGATGTGTGCTTTCCGTGGCAAATATTTCCGTGACATAATATATTATCGTGGCGGGTTTAAATTGTTTATCGTTTAACTAACATTCAGCAATTTAAGTTTTATATTTTTGAAATAAAAACGGCGCTTAATGTTCACCTTTCAGTCCAATGCTGAAAGCTATACATGTTAAAAATGTGCTAATCTGCTAACTTCGCGTCTCGAATGTAACTATTGTTTTTGTTATATTTTTATCATACCCGTAGAGCATACGATTTGTACACATACATATGTTATCCTTAATAATTTTAGTTTTTTTTTTGATCTAATGCCGGATCCACTTAGAATCGACTTTTGTGTAGTTCTTTTTTAACACCTGTCGGTATTTTGAAAGTTACGCTTATGTTTCATTCGGTTTTTCACTAAGTATGGACCCGAAAAAAAGCTCAATTCAGTATTCACAGCCACGCGTAATTTGATTTCGATATAAAATGATCCACATTGAAAAAATTTGAAATGTGTATCTCACATATAATCGATTCCTTAAATACGGATTTATGGGTGGGCAATCATCCCCTTTGAACCCTCCTCCCCTTAAAACACCCCTGAAAGCAACTGATTCAATGATATCAGCATCGCACCGCCACTGGTTGTATGTACCGTTTTTATCCATTGGAGGACGTAACATCATTGTAACGGTGCTTTCTACAAAGATTTATTATTTCGTAAAAGTAATGTAAGTAGTATAAGCTTCACTAGGTATCACATTGATCGATGATCTTTCAAAAGGTGGGTGTTTTATAGAACCTATAATGTAAGTCGTCTAAAATTGACTATAAAAATATTCATTACCTTTAAACGGAAATGTTCAGGACGCGCAGCACACCATCTTTTCCATGTTTTTGGTTTTGATTGACACATCTAAATAAATATATTTATATTTATACATAAGTTGTACGATTATTTATACGGTTTGAAAATAATATTACAAATGAGTATGGATGGTAATAATATTTACTGTATCTGAGTTATAAGTACGAAAACATTCCCGCCAATAACTATGTCATAATGTATGCGTGAATTAAACAAAAAATCGGAAGAATAGGCTTAAGTACGTGAATCGGACACGAATAAATAAAAACTAAATACATTTTCAGCCCTCAATACAATTTAAATTCAGTAACACTCGTCACGTGTTGGTACACGAATCCTGTTCTCAAATCGATAGATTTGTCTATACATTCCAGGCAATTTGGCTCATCTTCCCCATCGAGAATTCCTCATTTAATAATCTCTGCATTACTTTTCCCTATTTTAGCCAATTTGTACCTTTCCTTTTAACCGTCTTTGGTTCCCAGTTCCTGTACAATTTATTGTGCTTCTTAAACTTAATTTTTCTTTTTAGTATTTTTATTGCTATCAACCATTAAAAAAATAAAAGAAAAAATAAAGTGAATCTAGGATTTTTTTTTCTATATTGTCTTACGATCATGTTTCTAAATTTTCTATTGATAATATTGACTACACTTTTAAAAAAATTATTGCTTTGAAGCGGTATCTATGTAAAATCATGACTGACTACAGAAACTGATTTTACGAAAATGTTGGGCGTTTGATTCACGATACATTTTAATCGATTATATGATTTTCAAAAATATTTGCCCTGAGCAGTGTTGGGAATAGATAATGCAAAATTGATCTTGATAAAGATAAAAGATAATTTCATTTTTATCTAGTTAAAAAAAGATATTTTCAAAAAATGTTATTTTTGGTCAATATTTCATATTCTTATAATATCTATTATTTATAATCTATTATTATAATATCTAAGGTTCAATTATAATCATTATTATCAATAGATACCTAGGTGTTGAATGTTTATTGTAGTAATGTAGTATACCATTAAGCAGTATTTATATATAATGTACAATATTTAATGATAGTTAATCACTAAAATGTTACACAAAAAAAAAAAAAAATGAAAATTGCTCTGTACGTATCAGGATGAATAAAGAATACATAAAAAAATTATTTTAAGTTAACAATATTGTTTTCCATATAATATTAATTTGATGATTTTCATTATTCTATAAGTAATTACGACTTTACGGGTTCCAATTGAAGTAATGACTATTCGGCGTATGAGTTACATGTATATACTAAAATCAAATACCTACTATATTTTGAACTTTCGTGGAAAAATAAGAAATTAAGTTTAAAAATACCAAAAATATTTTCCCGACATGAAAATACAAACAAAATGTCATACCAAGAAATAATAATTACTTATTAATAATACACGAATTATGATTATAAATACAAAATTTATATTTATGTATAAAAAAGAGTCAGGTTATTTACAGAATTTATAATTCAAGAACGGCTGGACCGATTTTGAAGTTCTCTGATTTGTTGGATTTATTTCCGTACAAGAATAAAAATAACTCTAATTTTGGCAAGAATACAGACAATTATCTAGATAAGTAAAAATGTTATCTTAGATAAGTAATTAGATAACTTAGCGTTATTTATCTAGATAAGATAAAAGATGACAAAAAAATCTATCTAGATAATTTATCTAAATAAGTCTCAACACTGGCCCTGAGGCCTATAATTACATTATTTCGTATGTGGTACATGATAATAACCAGGTCATAGACAACTTTGTGGAGATTTCAGTAATTATGGATATTAAGGAAACGTAGAAATTATGTGCTGTTTCGTAATCACTATCAAGGTTAAGACAATTTCATAGTTTTAAAAAACATTGACAATTACGTTTTTCATTATTTATACTATAAATTGTATAGCTTGAGTTTTTAGATGCCTGTACCTCATTAATTTTGGCTGGGTTTAATATAAATTCTAATTTTTCCAATACTTACTTCTATATAGGATGAGTGTTGATATGTGTTAAGTTTATTCGGATATAACTGTATACTAACAACAATCTTTGTTTTTTCTATATTGGTTTTTTCAATCAATGTTTTTAACGATCTTTTCTAAAAACAAACAAATAAAACATGAATTATAATTATCTTTGCATTTCATGAATATGTTATTAGATTTAATTAAACACGTTATGTATGATATGGAACATGTATTTTAAGTACCCGTGGCCAACTAGGAACCATTACTATTTTCGTATGTTTCTCCGTTTCTCTATATTGCTATGCAAATTTAGTGGAAATCTGAAAAATTCTACCACTCAGCTTTGAATTAAAACTTCCAATGAAAATTATAACGATCATTGCAGAAACAGGACAGTCACGCTCAATGGTATTATGAGTAAAAATAATAATGAAACAGTGGACTTTTTCACTAAACATTTTAATTCTGTATATTCTGTGTCAAATATCAACTATAAACCTGAGTTATCCCAATCCCTTATTCATGATCTTCCAAGGAACTGTTTCTTTGATATATCAGATGTTGAAAAAGGTTTATCACGCCTGAAAGGAAATAATTCTATTGGCCCGTATGGTATCTCAGGTGATTCTTATTCTCGATCAGATCGTCTATATGTTTCTCTTTATGGCTTCTATTTCGAAAATCACTTGACTCAGGATCCTACCCTGAAATACTTAAACTTAGTTCCATAACGCCGATATTTAAATCTGATGATATTTCTAATGTAGCTAACTATAGGCCAATAACTATAATCAGTCATATAGGTAAACTGTTTGAATCCTTAGTCTTAAATTCTATCTAATCTGCGGTAAATCAAATCATAATAGATGAACAACATGGGTTTCGCCTTAATCAATCAGTTAACACATGCAATCTAGTGTTCACTGATTATGTGTTTAATGCCTTTGCAAAAAAGAACCAGGTTGACGTCATTTACACCGACTTCAGTAAAGCCTTTGATAGGGTTAACCATGCTGTTCTTATGAAAGTCCTTGCCAGTAGTGGTTTTGGGGAGCCTTTGTTATCATGGTTCAGCTCTTATCTATCCGATCGCAAGCAATTCGTAAAAGTATTTGGTATCAAATCACAGGTATTAAACACGCCGTCAGGGGTACCTCAGGGAGGCCATCTTTCCCCATTAATTTTTATATTGTTTATTAATGACATAAAGATAGTTATTCGCCACAATAAATTCTTACTATTTGCAGATGACTTAAAGCTATTTCTAGAAATTCGCTCAGTACATGACTGTCAATTACTTCAAAATAACTTGTGGGCACTGGACGCCTGGGCTGTAAATATTGGTTTGGATTTTAATGTCTCCAAATGTTGCTCAAAAGCTTTTCATAGAAGTCGGACTCACTTGGATTTTAAATACTCATTTCGTGGAACCTATCTTGTTATTGAATCGAATACTGTGAAAGACCTCGGAGTTTTCTATGATAGTAACTTAAATTTTTATAACCATATAGATGCGACATGCTGTAAAGCTTTAAAAGCTCTTGGATTTCTTAAGCGGGTTTGTAACGAATTTAAGTTGATAACTCCACTAAAAGCCTTATATTGTGCGCTCATCAGATCTATTCTTGAATTTTCTGTAATTATATGGATTCCTCACAACATAAGCAATATGAATCAACTTGAAAGAGTCCAACGGAAGTTTTTGAGTTTTGCAGCATATCTATTAAATATTGAACATAGACCTCATGATTATGATGCAGTAATAGATAGGCTAGGCTTACAGTTTTTGGCCGATAGACGTATCACCATTAACAAGGTCTTCCTAGTCAAACTCATAAATGGATCGATCGACTGTCCTGAACTTCTATCCAAAGTAAACTTTAAAATTCCCTGTGTCCAGGTCCGTTCTTCCTATCCTTTCAGTATTCCGCTGTGTACGACAAATTATTCACAAAACAAACCACTAAATAGAATGATGCGTATTGCTAATGAGGATCCGTCTTTTAGTTTTTAAGTTTAGTTTTGTAATTCTTTTCTTTTGTCTCATTTCTTTTTCTATTTTAATTGTTATGTCTACTATTCACTTATAATATGTAAATTTATTTTTCTGTACTTTGGGCTGTGGCCCGTATTAAAATAAAATAAATAAATAAATAAATAAAATAACAGTAGTCGACGAGAAGTGTAGAGATACCTTTTTTTTTTTTGTGGATATGGTACAGTGCAGTGGTGCACAACCTTTAGAGGGTCGCCAATAGCTTAACACCGAAAAAATAAGTTTCATATTTTATTTTAATTATTTAATATAATTTTAGGTTTAGATTTTAGATTTCATAGGACTCTAGTTTTGTATTTTTTTTTTATGTTTTGGATTAATTATATTAAAGAATTATTAAAATTGCCTAAAATTAATTATTTAATTAATACAATGAAATATTTGTGTGCATTAAGTAAGTATATTATACATTAATATAATGCTGGTAGAAAGGAGGCCTCATACAAATAAATTTATTTGAGGCTCGTGGATTAAAAATGATTGCGCACCGCTGGTACAGTATATTATCTACTCAATCACGTGCATGCTGAACAAGCTCTCAACTTGTTTGCATATTATTTCTAGACAACTCACAGTATTATATTCATCAATTCAATGTAGTGTAGTATCACATAGTACTATGATCTGATTAAAATTAACTGGTTTAAAATGGTTAGCGAATAAATTACGTACCTAGTTAATATTTAGGGGTTTCCACTTAAAACCACTACAATTCCGTAAAAGAGTGCAATACCAGTAGAAATTCTAATAATATCTCTTAACGTTGTTGAATTAAAAACTTCAAATGTGCACGGTTAGAGTTAATCGGATGATATACTTACCAAGCTAATTTCACCGTCTAACGGTGATGTTCCCGTCAAATAAGCCGGCGTACATTTTATCATGGAGATCGTGTTAATGGAATACCAGTATACGATCTTGTTTAAATCTTTGAACGATTGAAAACCTGCGTGTAACACATAAAATACATTTTAACACGAACACTGCATGTGTTCCGATTTAGTTATATTATGTATATATTGAAAGTTATGTAATTTAATCTAATTCATTAATCGTATTACTTGTTGAAATTGATTGACTATATGCACTGATAGTTAAGCCGATTTTGAAATCTGGTATTCCTTTCAATTTTGTTGTTTTGATAAGCAAATTAAAGAATTTTAATATTTTACAAAGCATTTCCGCATCCCATTGTTCTTGTGCCTAAAATTTTTTCTAGATTGAAAAATCAACTGAATCAATTCATATACTCGTACAATAGTTATTGCATTCGAGAATAGAAACGAGGTTGGGAGAATTAATAATTATAAACTAGGTCGGGGTGTGCGAACTTTGTTTAATGCAAGTTTCCGAAAGTCTTAGATAAAAACATTTATTATTAAAATTTGAAATAATTATTTCTGTGAATGTTACATAGTGATGTTTGTGATAACTTGGATCATATTAATATGTCAACTTATTTCATTATATTACTATGATGTGCCATATTATTTGGTTCATAAATTACAACTCATAAGCGGCGGCGCTCGTAAATTAGTTTAATAACAAATTTCCAAGCTCCTAATTTGATTACCGATTTCAAATAGGTTAACCACACTAAATACAAGATGTTCTAACTCGTAAGATAAGTTTTAAAAACAACGAACGATGCGTTATAATATCGATATCGGATTAAAATCTAGTCACAATACCAAAGTATATATTACATAATTTTGGCCATTGGAAAAATATATATGGTCCTGATAACGTCCCAACAATCAGTCGTAACTAATACTAGTTTATATTTAGTAATATTTAAATATCTAAAAACTAACTAGAAATTAATAAGTAATAGAATCTCATTTCAAATGACCCTATAAAATATCTTATTGAAGATAACATTTTACAAGGTTTTTAAGATTATTGAATAAAAATGCGCGCTCGATACCATGAGTCCAAGAATATACGAGACGCGAAATTCCTAACACATACCGTAGGTTGCAAATTTGAAAACTGTATTCCGTCAATCTTATACTTCTTAATAAATTTTATCAAAATATCGACTTCTTTTTTTACATTTTGTAATACACTTGACCACTCTTCATAACTTGAATGTTTCATTATAACCATAAGAAGTGTACCTTTAGTTTTTAGATCATAAATATCTTTTAGTTGTTCTGAAATATCAAATCAAATTTTTGGTATAATTCATGTGTAGAAATTTTTTCAGTTTTTATACATCATAGTTTATAAATACTTGATTTGTCTTCAGGTATTACTACTCTAGATTTTTTGATTATCAATGGAGTCCCGAGAACAATTGCATGACATAAGTCTCCAACAAAACGTTTTTTTATTCTTTTATATATATAAGGCAATTTGTCCCAAATTGTACAAAAAAATCGGGCTTCAGTTGGTTTTTTGATTTCAAAACAATCTAGAAGAACACATTATTCATGTTTTTATAAAAAAATAATAATGTTATAAAGAAACAGTTAATCACATTCATTGCGTATGCACTACTATTTTCAATTAGTACGTGTGTTTTATAAGTGGATATAATGGTGGATATAAGGGTGATAGAGAAACTAAATTCGATACTGAACGTATATTATAAATAAATAAATAGTTGGACTTTTCAATAGTAGGTTTGCCAAATACTCGATAGCGGTAAAAAATTAGAAATATTATATTACACAGTCTTACATAGTTGCATTAAACGTCTTATCTATCATAATGTATGAATCGTTATATCAAGTCATGGACAGTTTAATTGATTCCAATTATTTTTATAATATTGACTGTGTAAATTTACTCGATTATATTAATATATATAAATATACGTAGTCAAGGGGGTGGGTTAAGGGGCTATAGCTAAAATAAAATACCTACCCTTCACGGGTCGTATTTTTGTGTATGTACTAAACTAGTGTACTACTATTTGGTATTTTAAAAATTTGGCACCAACTAAATTTTGAAGAATAACGGATGTTTGTCTTTGGTACATATGAACGTTGTGGCGACGACCCTCGCTTAACACTTATTTTATAATCACTATAGTTTTTATATCACGTTATGGCGATACTACCGCAGTTGAACACCGTCAATTTATTATTATTATAAATTATATTTTAGTAAATATTATTAAAACTTTTTTATAATGCTGGAAATACATTGATAAACTTGGTAGTGTAGGTGAGAGGGGTGTGAAGGGTGAATTCTCAAATCCCATATTACATCGCCTTCCCCAAAAAAGTGTTTAGTACCTAACATTTAAAAAGTTCGGCTGAGTCAGTGATGCACACGAGTTGTCTCCAAAATCTGGTTAGGTTACTTTTTGTCCCTCGAACACCTACCGTAACAATCTATATCATTTTACATTACAGATTTACATACAGATTTCTGATATATTTCGATATATATCGATATTGGAAATTAGGAGTGTTTGTGAATGTACTACGACAAAATCGTTCTAAATTATAAATTTGTGATCTAAAACGAGATAAATGTGTGGCTGGTCGTAGGTGTAATAATAACAGCAGTCTATATGAATACGTATATAATAAATATGTAAATATGAGTACAGTCGTTGTCAGATAAATTGACATGGCGACGGCGACGTTTTTCGGTTGATGTTTTTCAAACTAATCGTGGTGTGTTTTGACCGGGTGGTTTTATTAATTGAATAATGTGATATTGGAATAACTATGGAACGCAAGGATGCCCATATGGGGGGGGGATCAAGGGAGGGACGCGTTCCCTTCTGGAAAATATCGAAAATCTTGAAAAATTGTTTACTGTGATCAGAATCTATTTATTTATTTATTTATATAGAATTTAAAAATGTAATTTAATATAGGAAAATCTACTCGTATAATTTGTTTATGAAAAATTGGTTATAATAACATATATTGAATAATAAAGATAAAAGTGCCGAATTTTCGTATTTACTGCTCGCTAACGTTAGTTTTACCAATCACCATTACCACCACTATCTACTTTGTTGGCCTTGATATTATTTTTTTAACATTTTAATTGCATGGTACTAGTTATAAGCAATAAATATATTTTATTTTTGTATATATAAAAAGTAATACAGTTTTTTGTCTCCTTATAATTAATATAATTACAGATCAGTGTTCATAGCATTAAGGTTACGATATCGTATAAATCGTTAGTTTATGTCGATTGTATTGATTGGATTAACGAAACATTATTAAATAGGGAGCAATTCGTATAACATTTTTCAATTAAAAAAAATTTACGGAATGTAATTCAATAAATTGATGAGGGGGAAAAGTGATTTATTGTTCCTCATATTTATTGGATAAAAATTTTAGTGTTATTCAATTGCTGAATAAAAATTGAATAAAAGTTATCTTAGATGCATTATAATTGTATTCAAAACAAATTTCGAATAACACTCTATGAACACATATAGTTCATGTAAATTATAATAGATCAAAATATACCTAAAATAGTTTTTTGAATATAATATTTTTTTATTACATTCAAATTTAAAGTATTTTTTTTTTTTCAATAGTTCGCTCAATATTCTAATCTTACCTTTTCTTTGCTCTTTTTCTTTTAGATATTCATCATAGCTTGAGTAATTTTTGTAAGTGATTGGACTATTCTCTTTCTTCTTATCCATATTGTCATCGACTATAGTTTTTTGATTATCTCCCGGAGGAATTGTATTATCATCTTGACTGTTATTCAATGTCTTTTCTTCATCATCTTTTTCATCTATAATTGGTTTGTTAGAAGATTTTGTTCCAGACTTAGGGCCTTCTTCAAATAAATCTGTTGATATTCCACCCAATGGATTTTCATTTTCATCAAGATCATCTGAGATC